GGGAGCTGCCTGTCCTGAGTGATATCAGGGATTGAGGTTGCCTGATTAGGAGGGATCTAGTTGGGGTCCAGGCTAGAGTGTAATGAGGCCCAGTGTGGGGCAAGAGTCGTTAAGAGCTTAGATGACATCTGCGAGGCATGGGCCATGGTGTAGAGGTGATACAGAGCCATCGATAGCGCCCCCTGGCATCAGGGTAGTGAATGGGCTGCCTCCTGCTTAATATATTGTTAACACTCAAGTCATGGCAGGTGAGTCTGGATAGACTGCTTTAGGCAGGTGGGCAGGCCAACTTGTGATCTGGCTTTGAGTTTGACTCCTGTCACAGATACAATTACATTTTTAAACTGTGTTATATTGAGTACTTTTGAAGTCCTCTGTGATCAGAGTGAATTTATTCTTGGCCATTATGATGTTAATTACCAATCAGCAAGAGTGATGTTCAAAGATATATTTTAATTTTTTTAGAATCAGGAAGTGACAACCAGAGCATACCCCACAGAAGACTAAAACTTGCAGACCCTTCTCTAATTATAAAGATTTTGAATGTTTAACACAGAATTCAATACCCAACCCTTTTAAATGTAAAAAAAAAGCAGATTTTGTTAACAGCAATTAAAAAAAAACAAACCAACAGGGCAGATGATGGTTACCCATGAGTTTATTATTGTAAGGCCATTAATGTTTAATATTTAAACAAAAGGTACTCTGTTTCCATAAACAAGATTTTCAGATTGTTAATTCATTATTAAATCTGGAGGAAACTGGTTTGCAATCTCTGACACTGTGCTCCCATGCTGCTAGCATCTCAAATACCATTTTTCAACAATACAGCTGTTGACAGCAAGACTCAGAAAATATAAAATTTACTTTAGAATGTTATTTTCAAATATATTTCACAGTTTCTCCTAATGACATTATTTTCTAACCATGGAACCTTTTTGTTCACAGCTGTCCAACTTGTAAGCCAGGGGATGTCAACCAGGGGTACGCGTACCCCTGGGGGTACTTGGACCAGTCCTAGGGGGAACATGCAGGTGGGTGGGGATGGAGCATCACCACCTCCCAGGAGCAGGGCTGGGGCAGGGCGAGGGCGGTGGCACCCCTCTACAGGGCAGGGAAGCTCACACGCGGCAGCCACCACATACCAGCCTGGTGAGCTTCCCCGCCCTGCAGAGGGGCACCGCTGCCCTCACCCCAGCCCAATAAGCTTCCCCTACCCGACTCCTGAGAGGCAGTGACACTCTGTTCCCACCTCCCTGGCTCCACGTCTGGCCATGTACTACCCTTGCCCCCACCCCCGCTTGGCGTTCAGCTGTGTGCTCCACCTCCCCTGACCCTGGTGTTCAGTTGCTGGGGGTACTTAGACTTTAAAAGGTTGAAAACCCCTGTTCTAAGCAGTCAGGGGTTCCATGCCCAGTAACAGGCTACATGCCCCACAGGCCATACTAGTAGGGGTCACAGACTACATTGCCACATAGATGCCTCCCCATTACACCACACAGCTGCATCCCCACTGCCACAGTGCACACACACATGGGCACTGCCTCCCGCCTCCCCCCACTGCAATGACTCCCCCCATGTGAATACTCCCCTCAACCACAGCTACACTGCATGCCATGTGGCTCTAGCCTCAAAACCTGAGCACCCCACACCATGTCACATTGCTCCCTGGGATGGGTGCACAACAACAGAAGCCAGAGGAGGAACCCAGAGCCTCTGGCTACTGTTGCAGCCAGAGCAATAAGGGGTGTCATGGCCAGACAGGAGACTGAGGGCCACAACTTAACCCACCCATGAGCTGGGGAGCCCTGTTCTAGATTGCTGTGGTGACCAAAATGAACAGTTTTATATAAAATATTGCATTTCACAATTTTAGCTCCAGGAACGAACATAGGTGGCTAAAGAACTTCTCCAATTGCTCTTTGTATTTCCATTATAGTATATTCAGACATCCTCCTCTTTTTTTTTTAACCTAGGAATTAGGTAAGAAAAGGAAAACAGTAAATCTAAAGCCAAACATTATATTTTATGATGATCAAGAATTGCTCTGGTTTTCTTGCTTTACCAATATGCCAAGAGCAGTTTGCTTAGTTACTGGAACAGGCAAAAGTAAGTCTCTTTATGCTGCCCTGTGTGGCAGGCTGGCTGGCAGAGGCTTACAGCAGGCTGCACACATCAGGCTGTAGGAACCTGCAAGCCTGCCGGGACTCTGCCCAGCTTAGGGCAGTGAAGCCTGATTGCATGTCTTCCCACAGGACTGGGCCAACAGACAGGAATAATTGGCTGGCCACAGGAAGTTAAGAGGGCTTCCAGGGAGATATACAAGGAGAGACAGGGAATTAAAAGAGTGACTGTAGCAGGTTGGCTGGCAGAGACTTGCAGTAGCCTACAGTTTGCAAGCTTGCAGGAACGACAGCCCAGCTGTGGGCAGTGAAGCCTGATTACAGGTCTGCCCAGAGGACTGGAACAGCTGATATAGGAAATTGACTAGCCCCAGGAAGCTAAGGGTCCACAGGAGAGAGTAAGAGAGGCAAGACTAGAAGCAACAGCACCACCACATCAGGAAACTGAGTCAGAGACAGACTGAGATGTTAGCAAGTATGGATATAGGTCAGTGGTGGTTCCTGAGAGGCAAGTGTGCCCAGGAAAACACAGAATTGGGTGAAGTTTTAAGGACTGTTTGAGCTAAGCAAGTCCCTACTACACCCTGTCTTTGGATATGGTCTTATCCAAAGCCCACTGAAGCCAAAGGGAAAACTCTCATCAACTTCCAAAGGATTTGCACATGCAGGATGAACCAATGCATTGCTTTGTAATGTTTTACTATTTTTCAATTACATTATTCTGCAAAGGTAATTAGCAACATGCTAGAAGCAACAGTGTACCTAGGAACATTATAGAGTACAGGTTTTGGATCTCCTCAGACTGCCCAAAGAAGAGATGAGGTCATGAGTTTGTATGTACATGAAGAGCTTTTAAAATCACAGACCTGAAATAAGCAGCTGGCAGTCTCAGTCATCCTGCACAGCAACAGCGTAAATAGAGGGAGATAGAAGGCTTTTCAAGGGTGACAAACACAAGCATCACAGCTTCACACTGCAATCAAAATTTTCTTGACACATAAAGCAATTACTGGAATCTAGTACTTGGCCCATGCAACATAGTATCTAACTTTATAAAAATGTAAAGTAAGACTGGTATCCTGTTTTAAAGGTGGTGAACCAAATGCCTAGTATACAATTTTAGCTCATAATGCTAAAAATAAGGCATTTCCTTGCATTTCAAAACTGTCACTTACACAGTATCAAAAATACATTAACACAAACAACTTTTCTTCTTCATACTCACTATTCATGGCAAATAAGAAGAAACAAATTTAACTGGAAACACAAAACTCAGATATATGTATTTTATTTTCCATGTGTAGAAACAAAAAAAAAAAAATCATTCCTTTAAAGGAGGAGTTACAGGGTCAAGTAAACCTTGGCAGACTTTGTAATCAGTTGAAATTTGTTTAATTCAGTATAAATCTAAATCTGATCTACACTTTTTGATGAAATATTTTGAAAGATCAGTTGCAGAACGCCACTAGTTTACAAGCACACCTTTCCACCGATTTAAAGGGGAATTTCTTGAATTGATGGCATGATATAGAAGCCAGGGACAACCCTTCACTACTGCTTTCACTAGAAAGCTTCCTATCAAATTTACTCCATTTACTTGAATCCAAGATGAGATTTCTCTGCACCCCCCATCAGTATAAAGAGAAAAAAAAGCCTTGTCTTGGATTTGAGTAACAGCCTGGGGACAGGTAGTAGCTCAACTATAAGTTTGGCTCAGCTCTTGCTTAGCTAAAGACAGAACTGGGCCACCACCTGCTGTGGGCCATACTGGCTCATTTGGCAGGGAAGGGGACATGCAGCTGGAGGGAGTACAAGAGAAACCACAGGGTGTGTGGAGGGGGAAACTACAGCCTTCCCCCCACCCCTAGCCTGCTCTCCCTTTGCCTGCCTTTCCCCCTTGCCTCCCCCAAAACTTCTGCTGTAGTTCCAGTCCCAACTCAACCTGACTGGGAACTGTCACTCATTAGCGATGCATAGGGGGTGCATGCAGGTACACGTGCACCCCGAGTGTGGCAGTGCACTCCCTGCAGAAAAGCACCACCAACACTCGCCACCCCCCCCTCGCCGTTGACACTGCCAGCAGCATCTGCAGGCAGTCCATGACTGCCACTGGCCGCTGCTGCCAGTAGTGTCTGCGGGTGGTCGCCAACCACTGGTCGGCGCTCGCCACCCCCGCTAACAGTGTTGTGGCCGCCTGCTGGAGCTCCCTGCTTGCTGCCACCACGCTCTCACCACCACCATCTGCGGGAGCTCGTCATGCCCCCCCAGCCACTGGGGACACGTGGCATTCATGCTACCACTTCTCTCTGGCCTGGCTGGGGCCAGACTGCTGCTGACTGCTCCAGAGAAGCAGAGCTGCAGCAGAATGTAAGCAGTGGGGGAAGGCATGGGGGACCAGGAGGCAGGCTGCAGAGGAGGTGGGCAGGGGAGGTATACACAGGCACAGAGGAGGGTGCATGGTGGGGTACAGGAACAGGCATGGGGGGGGACAACAAGGGGTGAAGATCTGTTCCCTCACCCGCCCACAACTGTTTTCGTTGCCACAGTGGTAGGAGGCAGGGAGGAAGGGAGACGAAGATGAAAAGACAACCTGCTCCTAATTAGATTCTATTAATGGACAATTTGTTATAATTTTCCACCTATGGACTCTAATTATTGTGGAGTCATTTTAAAATTTGAAGTAAGCTTCAATTCAGATAATACAGTATGTTAATGATTAAGTTATTGATAGATACAGTTATTATTCAGATGGAATGCACCAACCTATCCTTGTAGTAGGTTCCCATCAGGAACACCCTGTGGAAAACCAGGAACTTGTTCATGAACAGACACACAAGTCCTTCAGTTAAGGCCTGCATCAAAATGTGACTGAGCGAGATGTACTGGCACTACAGGAAGACAGTAGAAGATGACAAGGAAGAGATGGTGGATATCATACAGAAGAAAGGGAACTGGTATAGACTGATCAGAGGAAGTTCCCTCAAAGAGAGCAATGACAATGGCGACAACAAATACAATGACAAGTGAAACAACTGGGGAAAGGGGTAGGGGAGTTGAGAGGGCACTGAGGTAAGTCCTTTGCACAATGGTGATTGTTAATAGTGATGGTGGTGGGCAAGCGGGCATGCGGGTGCAGTTTTGTAATGGGAATGAAAATGGTGCAACTGTAAAAGATGTGTTTTGGACTGTCAGGTGAACCACAGCAGTCACAAGACAGGTTAGTAGAGGCATAGGTAGATACATATAGAAATAAATATATTTTAAAAAATCAGCATGTTTGCCCCACATGAGCCATGTACTTTATAGCCATGCTCACTGTTGGTTGCATTTAATCAACTTCATAGATGGTTTCTGTTACTGAGCACAGGCTGCTTTTAGTGCAGTTCAAAGATAGGCAATGTATTTAATGAGGTTTTCTTCTACGTGAATGTAAGATGAGGGACTTCCACCCCCCCCCCCGTTCTGACTGGGGGAGGGGAGGGGGAGGAGAGACCCCTCATCTTATATTTGAGTAAGTGTAGTATTACAAAACCAGACTACTTCAACGTGTCTTTGATACACTGATACTTGCTAACAGTCTTTAGATACCTGAAGGATGATTACGGAAAGGATGGGAATGGGTTTTTCTCCGAGGCTGCAAGGAACAGGAATAGGAGCAACAGCCTCAAACCACAGCAGAGAAAACCAAGGGTGGATATTAGGAGGAACTTTAGACTATGACTGTGGTCAAGCATTGGAATAAACTACCTAGAGAGCCTACGGAATTTCCATCTTTGGAAATTTTCAAGAGCAGACTAGACAGACCCTTAGCTGGGATGGTTTAGTAATTACCTTCTGAGGTCCCTTCCAGCCTTACTTTCCTGTGATCCCATGATCTTAGCTTTTTTAAAAAAAAGCTGGCAAAATACTCTACAGTGTTTTTGTTGATTTATGACAGTATACTTTCTACTTTCCCTGAGCAGATAGGCTCCATATGGCACAACATACTGCACTGAAAACAGTGAGAAAAGAAAAAACAGAACTAAAATTGTATGTAAAATTCTATTTTAATGTATTCTTAAGGCTGGGAATTTCAATGTGTAAGACTCAGGAATACCTATTTCTAGAGATGCTTAAAAGCACTGTTAGATGAAACATTTATTGTATATGTAGTATCTTGAGGCTATCATTTACGGCCACAATTTACAGGCTATTTTATGTGGGCAGGGCATTGTACCTAGATGAAGCTCTATCAATTTAGTACCTATCTGGATAAATAGTGAAAAGTTGTATCGTGAAGGGAAGTAGGAAAGAAAGAGAGAAAATGGGACCTTGATCATAAAATACCTTATAATCTAGGGAAACACACATCAGATTATAAATCAGAGGAACATAAGCGACTCCTGTGAAAAGTCTTCAGTAATTTAATGCCCATTCCTGAGGGAGATACCTAACAAATAAGATAATCAAGAAGTTGCACAACTTTTACCGGGCTTTAAACTAAGCCCGCCGGGGGATGGGGGGACTCCTGCCACTGCTGGCCCGCTGAGCAACCCTTGCAAAGTCAGCAGGCCAAGGCACTTAAGGGATCCCACCCCAGCCCCAGAACAAAATGTAGGCAAGGCAAGGGCCCCCAAGGGGACACTTGGGTGCCTATACACAAATGCCAGGAGCTTGAGGAATAAACAGGAGGAACTTGTTCTCCTGCTAAACGCAAATAACTATGTCATAGGGATAGCAGAGACCTGGTGGGCCTCCACCCATGACTGGGCCACAGGTATAGACAACTATACCCTGTACAGGAGGGACTGAGTGGACAAAAGGGACGAGGGCATAGCTCTCTCTGTCAAGGAAAGCTACGCGTCCCTGCAAGCCGACATTGGCACCCACGGTGGACGACTTTGAGACCCTCTGGGTTAAAAATCCGTGGGGAACATGGCACGGGGAATACTATGGTGGGAGTCTACTACAGACCCCCTACCTAGGGTCAAGACTTTGACCTGGAGTTCACCAGGGAATTGGCTGAGGCTGCACACTCCTGGTGTATGGTTGTCATGGGAGACTAACTACCCAGACACCTCGTGGGAGGAGCGCTCAGCCAAATTCAAGCAGTTGCAAAGCTTTCTCTCATGCATGGATGACCTCTATCTGACACAGGAAGTCTACGGGCTGACGAGAGGTAAACCGCTGCTCGACCTCGTACTGGCAACTGAGGACGACCTAACGATAAAAGGGAAGCTGGGTTACCTTCACCATCTGCCGTAGCTGGCAAGTCAGTCAGTAATACAGAAGTCCTCGACTTCAGGAAAGCTGACTTTGACAAGCTAAGGAGGCTTGTCAGAGAGGCCCTAAAGGGCCACAACCCAAAGGAGAGGGGAGTTCATGACGAGCAGTTGCTCCTCAAGGGAGCAATCATGGATGCGCAAGCAAAGTCCACCCCGTCTTGAAGGAAAGGCAGCAAAAGGGCACAGCAGCCCCCTTGGGTCTCCAGGGAACTGGCGGACCTCCTACATCTTAAAAGGAAGACCTACAAAGGATGGAGGACTGGAACCACCACCAAGGAAGAATACTCTGTTCTGGTCCGGACCTGCAGAGAGCAAACCAGGAAAGCCAAGGTTGCGATGGAATTCCATGTAGCTACAAATATCAAGGACAATAAAAAGTCCTTTTTGGGGAGCTGGAGGAAAAGGAAGGGCAACATTGGACCCCTGCTAAACCAGATGGGGCAACTGACAACTGATGCCCAGGAAAAAGCAAACTTGCTAAATGGGTACTTTGCATCAGTTTTTCACCAGTCCCATGGGAAGGCCCTGCCCACTATAGCTCAGGGAGGTCCAGGTGAGGGACATTCTTTGCCCTCCATCGAAGCTAACCTCATGAAGAAACACCTTGATAGGCTGGATACCTTCAAGTCAGCCAGCCCTGATGGGTTACACCCAAGGGTATTCAAGGAGCTGGCAAGCATCATAGCTCAGCTCCTGGCACAGATCTTTGAGAGCTCTTGGCACTCTTGTGAAGTGCCCAAAGACTGGAGGAGGGCCAATGTCGTGCCTATCTTAAAGAAAAGGAGGAAAGTAGATCCGGTAAACTACAGGCCCATCAGCCTGACCTCTATTCTGGGGAAGGTCTTGGAAAAGATTATGAAAGAAGCCATCCTTAACAGACTAGCTGAAGGCAATATGCTGAGGGATACCCAGCATAGGTTTATTGCGGGTAGGTCTTGCTGAACCAATCTCATTTCCTTTTATGACCAGGTGACCTATCACCTGGACAAGGGGGAAGAGATTGACGTTGTATATCTTGACTTTAAAAAAGCCTTTGATCTGGTATCCCATGATCACCTCTTGGCTAAACTGACTAACTGTGGCCTCAACCTCACCACGATCCGCTGGCTGGGGAATTGGCTCCGTAGGACCCAGAGGGTGGTGGTTCACAGAAGTCAATTGTCTTGGTGCGCAGTCATCAGTGGGGTCCCTCAAGGCTCTGTCCTAGGGCCTATACTATTTAACATTTTCATCAACTATGTGGACATTGGTGTCAGAAGCAGACTGGCCAAGTTTGCTGATGGCACCAAACTCTGAGATAAAGCATCCACACCTGAGGACAAGAGGGCAATCAGGCAGATCTTGACAGGCTCATGAAATGGGCAGGTGAGAACCTGATGGTGTTTAACACTGAAAAATGCAAGGTTCTCCACCTTGGGAGGAAAAACCTTCAGCATCCTTATAGGCTCAGCAGTGCTACGCTGGTTAGTACTACAGATGAAAGGGACTTGGGGGTCATGATTGACCACAAGATGAACATGAGCCTTCAATATGATGCTGCAGCTAGTAAAGTGAGCAAAATGCTGGCTTGCATCCATAGATGCTTCTCAAGCAAATCCTGGGACGTCATTCTTCTGTTGTACTTGGCCTTGGTGAGGCTGCAGCTGGAGTACTGCATCCAGTTTTGGGCAGCACAATTCAAAAAGGATGTGGAGAAGCTTGAGAGGGTGCAGAGGAGAGCCACACACATGATCAGAGGTCACGAAAACAGACCTTATGATGAGAGGCTGAAAGCCATGGGGCTCTTCAGCCTGGAAAAGCACAGGCTCAGGGGTGATCTGGTGGCCACCTATAAGTTTATCAGGGGTGCTCATCAAGATCTGGGGGAACGTCTGTTCACCAGAGCGCCCCAAGGGATGGCAAGATTGAACAGTCACAAACTCCGCCGCGACCGATTCAGGCTGGACATAAGAAAGAACTTCTTTACTGTCCAAGCCCCCAAGGTTTGGAACAGACTGCCGCCGGAGGCGGTTCAAGCACCCACTTTGAATGCCTTCAAGACACATTTGGATGCTTATCTTGCTGGGATCCTATGATCCCTGCTGACTTCCTGCCTCTGGGGCAGGGGGCTAGACTCGATGATCCTCCGGGGTCCCTTCCAGCCCAAATGTCTATGAAAACTACTTCAGGCAGACATGTGAATAAAACCCAGATATCTCATGAGAGACAAATTTCACCCACTTAGCTATAGAACGAATATGCCAAATTATGTACGTGCCTCTTCTGATGATTTGGCCAGATGCTACTTTCTGTGTCAGAAAAAGAACTGATATCCCACACTCTAGCACAATTTCATATTTCAAAGATGTCCAACTGGCAGTCCACAGGCCATGAGGCCCACAAGTGGTTATACTTAGCCTGTGGGACTTAGCACAGCTGCCAAGTCTGCTGCATTAGCATGGCTCCAGAACTTAGGGAGTAAAGGTTGGCACTGCTAGAATTCCCCTTACCTGTCACCAAAGTCAGGTCCTTGGTAACAGCTGATGACTAAAACAGTTTGCAGGGGAAACAGGGGAATGAGCCATTCCAACACAGATGATTTGGCAGTTGCGCCAACAAGCCACAGCCCCAGCACTGGAGTTGGGCTGTGCAGTCCACAATAAGCCCCATGATCTGGAGCTGACCCATGAGTCCAAATAAGCAGGACAGCCCTGTCACATTTAGTCATGTAACTTACAGCAAAGAATGTGCATTATATCTCCAGGGAGGAAATGGACCAT